ACTCAGAACTGTTAATTGAATGGTTTGTGATAGGCACCATGCTAAGCACTGAGGAAAGAGATACAAATGAGACATGAAAACTGATCCAGGAAAACAAATCATCTCCTGTATTTGAAGTCAGTTAGCATGTGTCCCAAGAGTCATACCTTCCAGGAACATAAAAACTGACTTGTGCCGTCTTGTAAATAGACTCCTGTCTTCTGGTGTCATTCTTTGGTAAAAAGTAAAGGATTTACACTATCTGAAGAGAATCCAGAGAATCTGTCATTCTTAACGTGACCAGAAACAGTAAATACAGTCCACCCGTATTCTGTCTTTTTCTAATAAAGTTGCAAAAGCTCAAGATAAAATTATGTTTCCCAAAAACCATGCCACACTGAGAATTTGTTGATCTTAATGCTAATTAAAATCATAAGTATTTTTCAAACAAGTGTTTTCAGCTTTCAAGACCTAAATTAGTGTAGAGAAGTTTGGTAACCAAATGCAGTATCTCCCAGTTATTATTCCTATTGTTTTCATCTTACTAATTCAGCTGTCATGATCTTTTAGAATAATGGGTCAATTTGCCAAAATGCTTCCATTATTTATAATCAGATCATTGGGAAATTCAAGTTTAGCATTTCTACCATTGTTGACTTTTCATTCTAATCTCCTTTATGTCAATAATTAGTAGATATCAGTGTTGCTTACATTCTTTGTGCCGCTGGATAGATACGAAGAAAAGTATATAGTTAAACGTTTGCCCTTGTACCATTTGGCTCAGGGAACAGTTCCTCCAGAAGAAAGGGAGAGAGAGACAGACAGACAGACAGAGACAGAGACTGAGACAGAGACACACAGAGAGAGTGACAAAGACAAAGAGGAGAAAGAGAATGCACATTATGGAAGAGCTGATTTCAAATAATGTAAAAGTATTGATTTACAGACCAGGAAAGCAAAGCTCATTGTTTTATAGATAACTTTCAAATAATCAAGTATTTGCTTGCATGATAAAAGATCTAATTAATATTGGAGAATAGAGAATATTGAAAGAGTGAAAGAATACGATATGCAAGTAGCAAGAATTGTAGGCATCAGGAACCAAGTAGTCTTCAACTAGGGCTGAAAGAAAATAACTACTACTGCCATGGCTTTTTAAGAGTAGCTTCATTTAAACAAAAAGTTCTCATTACCATCTTCCTCATCTTAAAATGGAAGAGGGAAATGCATATCCATAACACAAAATGCATTCATCATCACATGAATGTACTGCAAGGTAGTAGACACTTCTCCAAAGAAGTGACATCAAAGCAGCTCCTCACTTTTTCTCCACCCTGAATTTGTACTCTGACCTAGGTGAATATTTTGTTTTTTCAAATATACATTTGATTACTAGAACTCAGACACAATATGGATTTGGTTGTAACAAGTCAGATAAAAGTAAATCCATTCAAGATTTGTTTCAAAGAAGTACAGATTTTTAATCCTAATATACCTTATTTTCCGGAGAAATGTGATATGACGTTCTAACTCCACCTAAAACTCTTCCAGTTTTTTTCTACGCTCATCAGTGAGACTGTCAGAGAACCACGGTTGATTCTTGTTGGTCCTTAAAACAGCAATCTTTCCAAAAAGAAACTGCACTCAGAGAAGGACTGACATGATCAGAGACTGCCCCCTGCCTTCCTACACAGCACATAGAGTTCCACTGCTTTTTTTAATTAAAATTAATCCTACCAACATTAAAAAGACTTTATGAATAACAAGCCATCTATATCCACGTATTTTCTCATTTAGTGACCCTGCTTATAGTACAGTAGGAGAGAAATCTGTTAAATACTAGAAAAGTTTTATCTCTAGGTATGCCTCAAAATGGGCATTACAGGGCTGATGCTGAGGTTTTTTTCAGTTAAGCAAAACCAAGAAATGGTGAACATATCATTTGATGCAATCATAACACTATACAAAAAAGAAATATCTGGCTATTAAATATAATGTATAGTAATATAATACATATTTATATATAAGTCCTGAGATGAACAAGAAAACATGGAATCTCTGGGCAGAAGTATTTTTGTTTCATTGATCTGTGAAGATATCTGCCTTGAAGTGTTTGGCTGCAATCTGAACTTATAATCTTTTTGGGTGTGCTAAAATAGGGCTTTCTGATCAGGAGAAATAACAAAGAGTAATAGTAGCTATTATTGATAAGAAAGTTTCCGAAATCTCAGATGATGAGGAACTTTTTCTTTCTTAACAACAATCTTAAATTTCTTCCTCACTTTTTAAACCAGTCATGTATCTCCGGTGAAAGGAAATACCCTTGGTGCAAAAGTTGTAAAGGACAGCCTATGTAGCCTTTAAAAATGGGGCAAATACGGGGTAAGGGGAATCACTGAGGATTTGAATCAAACCTGAGGAACTCACCGTGAATGCCTCCTTTTTTTCTCAGAGACAACTTCCCAAGGAAGGAAAGGGAATGCGGTGAAAACCCGAATCTGATTCCCCAGACCTCCTTAGGGAGGCGTTGCAATAAAATCTTTCTGGGGACTACAGAGCACATCGGTATATATTTGTTTTCAGCTTGCTTCCCAATTTTAAAATGTGCCCTAAATTTCTCCTCACACTATACTCTCCCTGGCTGGTGTTCTCCAAACCTCCAAATCCGGTGGATTCTGCCAAGCTGCAGCCTAAGAGAACCAGGCCAAGAGAGATGCGCAGCAAAACCAGAAAAGGTGATCCGCTGCTTCCAGTCGACCGCGCTTCCCAAGCCAGGCTGAACCCTGCTCCCCTATCCGAGCTGCACTGGCTTGGGCTCGCTCTCACCAGCTCCCGGCCGCACGGGGAGCGCCGCTCAAAGGCAAACTCGCCTGCCAGGTGCAGACCCAAACTCTGATGCCCAGGAGCGCTACAGCACCCTTTCTGCTGCCCTCCACCCCAAGAAGCCTTCCCAGCCTGATCTTTATCCTCACTTTGCCATTCCCACAGAAAAGGAGGGGACAGCCTATACAGAGAAAAATGTAATAATGATGATGATAATAATAATAATTATCACCATCATCTCTACTCTCATCCTCAAAAGCTGTTATTATTGTGGTCAATTTCTCTAAGCCCGGGAACTGGCAAAAGACAACAGGTTTCAGTGGATGCCATCTCTTGCTCTGGGCTCCAAAATCTATTTTCCTTTAGAGAATGTATCGCAGGAATTTATATTTACATTTTCTAAATTAACATAAATAGCTCAACCTCCTACAAAATAAATGTAAGTTGCACCGGAAAAGGCAAGATTTATGGACATAGAGAAAGTGGACACTTGGGAAGTTTTAAAGATGAGTGCTTAATTATTTAAAGAGAAGACATATGTTTTCTCTTCGATATTTATAAATTACTGTTAGCTAACAAAGCATGTCTAAATATGTGAGCGTGGATTTGGCAATGCGGTCGCTGACACCTGTACAGCATCAGACAGTAGCATTCAACAGATACTTCAAGAAAACTGCGGTGGGCTTTTGCTTTGGGAAACAGAAATTGGGTGTGGGTGATGTGTTTACTGCCAAATTAAATTTCACAGCCCTACAAAGTGTTTGAGTTCATCAGGGAAGGAGAGAATCAGAATTCCCAACTGTCCTTATTAGAATGGACCAAAAAGTTTTCTTTTCTTTTCTTTTTTTTTTTTTTTTTTTTTTTTTTTTTTTTTTTTTTACCAATTCGGAAACGGAGGCGCAGAGAGAAAAAAATGACTAACCCTGCAGTACCCAGAATAAGAAAGAAACCTAACTCGTCATTTCTCCCGCTTTCTCCTTCATGCCTAACTTCCGGGGCTACTAAAGAAAAGAGTACCGGGGCGACCGCTTTCTCCTTTCCCTTTTGCGTTCTCCATTTGATCCTCCAAACCGCCGCGTGTCCTCCCAGTAAGCCTCATCTGTACGTTTGCTGCTGTGCTATCAGATCCCAAGTAGCTGAACCGAAGTTCAGATCTCTTGCTTTAGTCCAGCTACCTTCAACTATTAGGGAACCAGTCTCCTGGGCTCCCACCCACCTTCATCAGTGCAGTGCTGCGACGACTCCACCGAGACCTGAGAACCCCCGCTCTCATTCGTTCTCTTAGGGGAAATCTGTTAAATCTTCCTAGGTGGGAACAACTCCATTCCCAGGCTTGGTCTTGGTGCCTCCCAGGTGCCTTGCAGGTGTGTTGGCCAAAGAGGGCTCTATCAGGCTTCTCTGACCTGTAGCGGGGATGCTGAAGGCACCTTCCTGGCTGTGCCCACAAACTGATGGAGAGGGCTGGGTTGCACCTGAGCATCCGGCAGTTGCCAAAAGGGAGGTTTTGCGGTTTATCCCTTGCCTTACTCCGCTCTTCAGGTCTTGATAGGCCTTTTTTTGAGGGAGCTGAATCTGTCCTTCCCACAGCCTGATTCAGCTCCCTCAAAAAACCTAATTAGCTGCCCTCAAGGTGTCTTTCTAAATACTTCACAAAGCCTTGTAGGGTGAAGAAGGGAGCTAAGCTATCTCCCTTCTAGGGCTTTCCTTTCTCCCTTGTCTGCATTTTAGGCTAGGAGCAAGCGTGGGAAAACGACCTTCTAACAATACTACGGCCTTTGCACAGTTACACGGTTGATCCCATTAGTGCTCCTGTTGCAGAAAGGGAGAAGAGTTGGATTGGAGACCACCGAAGAGAGTTTCAAATCTCAGAGAAACTTGTCAGATTCGGAAAACATATTTCATGACATGTACAGGGCTGTGGAGTGGAGGGAATTCTTTCAACCTTTGAGGGTACAGTATTTACAAAGCCTTATTCCACCCTCGACTGGCCAACTAGACTGGTTGCCCCAGTTCCTCATCTCCAGGCCTTTTAAGAATCAAGTTAATCACCTTCCCCACTCACTCCAAAGGGTCTCGCGCCCCCTACCAGCAGGTTCTAGCTGCTCCCAGAGATCGGTCCAAGCAGGCCCGGGCCAGTATAATGCCGAGCGCTGATTGGTCCCTCTTGACTCCTCCCCTCATCCAGCGTTTGGACCTAGAGCGCTGTGCAGCTTCGCCAACGCAGGGTAGGCGCTCTGGTGCTCGCCGAGGACTCTTCCTTCCTCGAGCGCACACCTATTTCCGATTCTGCCTTTGGAGCGGCTAGACTGCTAACCTTGTCTGCTCCATCGGCCTGCCTGCCCCTTACCTGCTGATTGTCTATGAACTTTTCTTCAATCTGCGCATCGTTGTCGTCGGAGTCGTCGAGATCGTCGTGGTGCTCGTGTGATGGCCTTCGTCCGTTTAGAGTAGTGTAGTTAGGGACCATCAATGAAGAAAGAAGACGCGATTGGCGCAGAGATGCTGGAGGTGGTCAGTTACTAAGCCAGGTTAGAATAGAAGAGAAAAACGAGCCAAACCTAGCCGGGGGGCGCACGGTCGCCAACAGGAGGTCGACTTGCCGGCGCTTCTCCTCGCGCTGAGCTTCCTCAGTCCCTCTCTCCCTCCGCTGAGGCGCGAGGTTGCGGCGCGCAGCGCAGCTCGGCGCACTGACTGCCACGGGCTCCGCTGGGCGATTGCAGCCGAGTCCGTTTCTCGTCCGGCTGCCGCCGCGGCGACCGCTGCCTTGTCTTCCTCCCGGACGCTGGTGGTAAGTTGGAGCCCCGGGCAGCTTTGCTGGCCAAGACCCTAATAATTTAGGCGGGGGATGGGGTAGGAATCGGGGACAGGTCCCGGATGGTTGCAGCCTGCAGGACCGCACTGGCCGGGGCGGGGGATGGGAAGGTACTCTGAACGCTCAGACCGTCAGGAGGCTGGGGTCTCTGGAAAGAGAGACGAGCTGAGGTTTCACGGGAGGGGCAGAGTCTCAAAGAGACTGGGGACCCAGGACTCGAGATTAAGGCGCTGGGCGGAGGCTGGGGTCTGGAGAACCTAGCGCTGTGGAAGCCAAAGGGAAGATGGAAGGAAGAGGTGGGGTCTCAGGACGTGTGGGGAGTGGGGGGAGGGAGAGGAGAGAGACGACGTAGGTGTCGTTGGATGTGGGTCGGGTTGAGGAAGGTGCAACTGAGTTGGGGGTACTAACTACGCTCTTAAGTAATCGCGCTAGGACCAAGTGGGAGGGGGTCTCAGGGACTGGGACTGTGGGAGCAGAAGCGGGTAAAGAGACTTCTGTTGTGTTTTCATTGAAAACGACCCTAACTTCCGGTGAGTCTCAGTGGACACCCTTAACTCTGGGAGATACACACTGCGGATCTGTGATCTGTGTTTTGGTCAGCTGTTGGCTGAATTTGAACAGCGCTACTAATGGTCGCGTAAGTTTGAGGAGAGTATAAGAGCATCCAATGAGTCTTATCAGCATACTTAAATCGTTTGGTGACAGTTTTGTATTTTGAAAAGGACTGCAGAAGTCCCCAGCGCGGCCTCTTATTCTGATTCCTTTACTCAGTTTAACCTGACGCGCAGTATTGACAGAATTACTAAACATGAGAACAGGTTGCTGATCCTGATAACACATAAAGTTCGTCATTGCAAAACGTGTGTGTGTCTATTTCTTTTCTGCGCCGAACCTTTTGCCTTTTGCTTCCTGTTGTGTAATATGTGACTGACGTGACAAACACTATGCATTGTTTTTTAGACCCTCTTATTTTAAGCATAGTGCTCCCCAACTCACATTCAGCCCGCGGCATTCAGCAGTTCAGGATGCCTAATTTGGTTGAGAATCATTGCCAATACCGCCCAGCATCTTCATTAATATTTACCAGTATCCGTCTCATTCAAGGAAGCCTCTGATTGCTGAGCTGCTAACTGTTTATGCCCCTTATCATATACCTTTTTGGCGGGCTTAACCGAGGGGAAAATAAGATTCAGATAAAATGGTTGGGATAGGGTGAGATGCTACGCAATGAATAATCTCTGAGCTCCCCAGTCCGCAGACAATTGTGACCTCACATACACAGTAGAGGAAAAAAATTTAAAAATAAATGGACTCTAGAGTTTAAATTTTTCATTGAGAAATTTACATATGTATGAGTCATTCTAGCATTCAAATATGAATAAGGTAGAAATGAAGTGTTTCTGTAGTTGACTACATATATATAGATGATGAGAAAGGCCAAGTGACATGCCCACAAAAATTATTTCTACCATGATCATTATATCTCTTTTACAATATTTAAATCACTCTGCATATTGTACTTTCAGAAAATAACCTTGGCACCTTGCTGCTTGGGAATCATTCTGTAATTCCCCATTCTGTCCCATAGATGGGAGGAATTCATTATTTTTATATTTTGAGGAGGTAGGTTTTAGGATATTTTTCATTCCCTAAACATATTCTTCTGGTCCTCCTGGAGAGAACATATTTGTTTCATCCGCATGATTTCTTTCTTAATAGCTTCTATCATCTACAACACCAAGTTCAACGCAAGTCCTGAAATTCGGAAGGTGGGTAAGGTTTGTGATTGCAATGTCAAAGTAGGACTTGGAGTGGTTAAGCGCGTGTTTTTCTAGCTGTATAATGCAGAGAGGGCTATTAACCCTTTCATGTACTCTCTTAAGAGAGTCGTTATCCATCCAGCATTGACACAGAGGACAGTGATGACTTTTTCAGATAATGACATGCCAGGCTTTGGTGCAGTATGAATATGTGGGAAGAAAGGTGAGAAGCATTTTTGTGAACCTCCTGGGTGCCAGGCATGGATCCAAAAGCATTACTTATATGCATTATTTCATATAGACTCCATAGTAAGATTATTAAATAGAAAAATATTATCCATTTAATTGTTACCAATGAATTCTCCTACTATATCTCAAGATACTCTTGTAGATTAAAGGAAAGGAATAAGAGATATTTATACTATCAGGCTACCCAGAAAAACTATGTCTTTTCTTTAGTAATAAAAAAAACCTAGAAAGTGTGAACTAGGGATATAGATCAGTGGTAGAGTGTTTGCCTGTGATATACAAAGCCCTGGGTTGAATCCTTAGAACTGCAAAATAAATGAATAAAAAGTAAAAAGCCTAACATTTCCAATAAAATGTCAGACTAATCCATTAAGAATTCAAGCAATACAAGAACCTTTCTCATTGTGGTTCACAAAGAAGAGATTTCTCTTTTTGAAAATCTAAAATTCTGTTTGGTTTTCAAGGTTATCATTACCATTTAGAATTTAACTACTTCACTAACCTGGTAAATATCTAAACCTAAATGATAAGCAGATGCCCAAATCAACTTTTAATAAGCCTATAATTCTGCAGCTCTATTTCTTTCAAGTAAAAAGCATCCTTCTTGAACTAAATGAAACACAGACATTAAAATTGGGGTAAAGAGTATTAGTAACCAGCCTTTAGTACCTTAAGCTGCTTTTGTTAAAGATTTGAGACTAAAGAAGGCTATGATTTAGTGACTCTTGTTTCAAAATGTTAAGACTCAGATCTTAATGGCTTCTGATTCTCCAGGCTATTTGGCCAGTACCATTATGAATCTTTTACCACCTCATTTATATAAAAGTTATATATAGTATATATATTGAGATTATTTTAGTACAAAATTGATAAGCTAATGTTGTGTAGTGGAAGAGATTCTCAATCATGGTCTGTTAACTGCCAGGGTAGCCATAAGCAAACCAGGAAGCAGCCATAAACTGGGGTTTAATAAGATACTGTAATGTAATAAAATGTAGTAATATATTAAATTTACCTGATTCTTGTTTTTAAAATATGGATATAAAGGACTTTGAAAATTTTATATTGTTGTACAAAGTAGTATTTTATATTATTGTTTCCCCCTTTTCCAGTAATTTTGCCTACATATTACATTATTTAACCTCAGGAAGAAATCACCAGTTGGTAGCCTAATGAGTGTTCATTTGGTATCTCCATCTCTGCTGTTTTTCAAAACATTTTAAGATTTTACATACTGTGAACACTGCTACAAAAACTAGTAACATCCATTTTAGACAAATAACATTGATACCAACTATAAGGTTAAATTACATCTTCACTTAACTAGTCATTAGCAGATTTTTTTTTTTTTTTTTTTTTTTTTTTTTTTTTTTGCCTTTTGGAGACAAGATCTCCCTATCTCAGACTGGCCTCAGGGTCACTTTGTAGCCCAGGCTGGTCTTGAACTTAGGGTGATCCTCATGCCTCAGCCTCCTGAGTGCTGAGATTACAGAAGTAAGCCACAGTCCCAAACCAGATTTAATTATAAAGTGCACCTTTACCAACTCTTTGACAAACACTTCTTACATTTTATTGCTCAAGTGACCTACCAAAAGCAGGATTTCAATAAGATATATACAATATACAAGCTGGAATCTTAATTCTGCTTTTGTCTCCTATGCAGCATCTCTACTTCATCCTCCTGTTGATTGCTTCTTTCAGCTTTGGTTAAAACTGTGTAGTCTGTTATTTCCTAAGATAAATGTTTGTTATCACATTATATGTGTAGATGGCATTTGATAGTGTTTACCTCAATATTTAGAGTGAACCTGATTCATAAGTTAAATGGTCTAAATTGCAAAGCACTAGAAATATCTCTTGGCCCCCCCCAAACTAGTAGGCTATAGTTGTCTTTAGCAGTTTTCTTCTACATCTGGAAACTTCCTTCTTTAGTTTTAGTTATCTTCTCCTTTGATACACATACCCACATAAAAAGCTAAGATTTTGTTACTGCTCATTAACAACAAAATGTCATGTAGGACTAGTTAAAAGAAATCCTTTAGACGTGCTTTGTCCAGTGCAACAGCTACCTATGCCATGGGGGTGTTTACATTTATTCAAGTCAATTGCAAATTTAGTTCCTCATTTTAACTCCTGGTTACATAAGTAAGGACAGTGAAGACATAGCCCATTGTATCATTGTGGAAAGTTTTACTAGAAAACAGTGTAAGAGAAAAATAGGGACCAGTAGTTTGCTCACTGAACATTTCCTTCACCTCCTCAGCTTAACCAGAACATGGTGTGCTCCAGAGAAACTTTCCTACCTCCTGACAGATCCTTCAAATGGAAAGATCTTTTTCCCCTTCTATCCCACCCCACCTCACAAATTGTGTTACTACCCCTCTCTGTATGTGAAAAGGCCTAAAGCTGTAATTGAAACTATTTCCTTTTTTTTTTTTTAAAGCTGATGAGACACTGGAACATTATTCCTTTACTTTTTATTACAAACAATCTTCTATTGAAACTTGTGGGAGTCCAAAATTTCTTTCTTGTCTCAGTTGTCTACATCTTCATAAAGAGCTTTGATTCCAGTCTATTCCTGTTCATTTTTTTTTTATTTTGCCATTGTCTGCTGACTTAAATGTTTTTCAATAGTTGTTCCATAACAATAGTCTTTCCTTCACCTCTTATTTCCCATTTTCCTCAGCTTCAGGCCCTTGGCTACACCAAAACGGATCAGTTTTTAAAAGTTTACCTTGAGAAACAACTTCCAGCATCTTCATGTCCTTCCTCTCCCTTGCCTCATACCTGCTGTTTGATCTCAGGATATCTGCAGCCCTTGTCTCAGCTTCATTTTTTGTTTTTTCTAGTGTGACCCTTATGTCAATCATGTCAGTATTTTATAGCATCATTCAGCATATACATCCCTCAATGCTTCTCTACTGCTCCCACTTAATACCACCCCTATTTAGGGTTAATGTATCTTAT